GCTTTGCACAGCCCCAGAGGCGAGAGCTGCGGCCGGGGAGGTCTGTGAGCAGGGCGGCAGAGGTTTTCCTTCAGCCGTCGGCCTCCCCCTGGCACCTGGGTTCCCCACGGGTGCAGCAGCTCTCTGCTGCTCTGGTTCCTCCAAGCTCCGCTGGTTTTCACAGGTCTCTGGTGAACTTGCTACTCTTCCATTTTCTCCTTCTCTTCCCCTACAATTCGGTGCGGGTCCCCGCAGCGGGTGTGGCTGCAGCCGGGGCGCAAGGCCGTCCCCGGTGGCACATGGGCACGGCAGCGCTGGGCTGGGGCACGCAGCTGTGCCCCGGCGTGTTCCCGCTGCGGAGGACGGGCAGGGGCCAAACCTTCCCTGCTCCCGTTCGCTGTGCTTTGAGGTTTTGCTGTCTCATCCTCCGGAGCTGGAACACCAGAACCTCTGCAGACACCACCGAGGTCCCTTGTTAGTCCCTGCCCCATCCCTGGTGGCCGCTCGCTCGGGGCGCAGGGTCTGGCCCCGTGGCCCCGGGGGTGACCCGGCCTTGCCGGGAAGGGCCCGGAGCTGCGTCCGCACGGGCAGCAGCAGCGCAGGGAGGTGCGGGAGCACGAGGGAGTGAACGCAGCGCCTGGCGGGGGGTGTCTGTCCTGTCCCTGCTGCTGCGGGAGGGAGGAGAGGGGCTGCTCCTGTCTCAGGCCCGTGTGCTTGGAAAAAGATCCATTTGGGGTTTTTAGCTACGTCAGCGGCATAATAAAATTTGACCTTTCCCTTCAGCAACTCCTCTGTGTGGGTTTTGGCCGAGCCAGACTCCTCCTGGAGTAAGATGGGAGCGTTCCCACTGCCAGGGGGGCCCTGCGGTGGTGCCGGGCCTCAGCACGCCACATCTCCGGGGATGGAGGGCGCAGGCATAAGCTGCTCTGCCGGCGATGTCCCCACTGTCCCCCTGCTCCAGCTGCGCGGGGACCGTGGCTCCACGAGACAGCGGCTGCCCTGGAGAAAGGAAACCGGAGCTGGTTTCGGTGTGGTGAAGCGTCAGGGAGACGGAGCGGTCCTGGGAGCGTTGTTGCCCTCGAAACGTGCTCATCTGATTTTTCGCCCTCGACCGTGTTGTCTTGCAGCCCACCCGGACCCCCAATTCCGTGGCGTCCAGCGGCACGGCCGGGCCCTCGGGCTCGGCCTCGGCCTCCGGCGGGGAGATGAGCAGCAGCGAGCCCAGCACCCCCGCGCAGACGCCGCTGGTGGCCCCGGTGATTCCAACGCCCTCCCTTGCCTCGCCGGTGGCACCCCCGGTTCCCTCGCCCACAAAGGTAAGCTGTGGCCCGGGGTGGGAGGCCCTGAGGGGAGGAGGAGGAGGAGGAGGAGGAGGAGGAAGAGGGGACAAGATGTTCTCTGCTGGGTCCCGGGCAGGGTTACAGCCAGTGCTACCGCTGTGAGGCGTTGTGGGGTTTAGGCCCCGCAGTCTGTGGGAGGAGCAGAGTGGGGGGGCAACTGGGTACGGCGTGGGGGGGTCGGGCAGGGGCTCACGCGGAGGCCGAAGCTGGAAGGATGTTGTCACAGTGGCTTAATTCAGTTCCCAACACACATTGTCCCATCCCGCATCCCCCTGGGATATGCATGGCCTCAGAGCGGGTTGGTGGGGAACGTGCTGGGGGGTCGAGGCTACGAGTCGGAGCGAGTGGGGAGCTCAGCTGCCTTAAATCCAGGGGAGGAGCTGGACGAGAACTGGGAGAACTGGGGCAGAGGGACCGGCCGTGGATGTGCTTGAGATGAGAAAACACTTGGAGGGGTCCACTCTTTCCCAAACTGGGGCGTTTCTAATAATTGTATCAGCACGGTTATTCCACTTCTTGATCTCTAAACCAGTTTTTCATTACTTCCACCCAGCTTCGTATTAACTAGTTAAAATTGGAGCTTGTGAAAGTTTGGGCCATGAGGGCAATGGATTAATAATGTGAGAGGACAGAGCTGGCTCTGGGAACGGGTTTATCTAACGGGGGCCAAAACCATTCGCTCGATGGCCCCCGCATGGCCAGGGCCGAGGCAGCGGCGCAGGAGCGAGGGACACCTGTGTGGCTTTCCTGTGCTGCTTGACATCGAGTAGGATTTTTTTTTAAATCTCTTCCTTAATGTCTGCCAGCTTCGTGGTTTTTAAGGTTTGGTCACAAGTGCCACTGCCAAAAGAGGGGCGTCATGTCCTTGCCGTGGGTGTTTGCTGCTGCTGTCGGCCTTCACGGGAGCTGGGCTGGCCCGGAGAGACCCAGCGGGGACGGGACGGGCTTTCCCTGGTGGGGGCTCACCGGGGGCTCCGTGGCTGCCGGGGGCTCGAGTGGCGCTGGTGAAGAGCCCGGAGCCATGTCGGAGGGGGTCTCTGCCTTCGGGCAGCCGCCCTGCTCTCGGCACGGGCTCTCCCGGCGGCTGCAAGCGCGGGGAGTGGAACTGCGGCATCCTGGTGCCGGGGGGAGCTGGGGGTCTGTTGCCCAGCGCCGACACAGGATTTACCCCAGATGGGACCCGGGCTGGAACTGGGGTTCTCATTAAACGGGCACACACAGGGCTGTCCCTCTCCTCCAAGGCGTGCAGTGACGGGGAACGGGGTGATGGGCACACGTGGCAGCACCGGGCGTTTGGGTGGTGCCAGGGAGGAGCTGCCATGGGGAGGGTGGCTCTGGAGGGGCTGGGGACTCGTCCCTGGGGACAGCTGGAGCTTGGCCGGGCAGGCCCGGAGCAGCCTGGTCTGCTCTGCACGACTGAGCGGGGAGTCCGGGCTCACCTCTCCCACCCTACGTCACTCCCCGCTGCTGCAAACGCTCTCGGTGGGGCATTTGTGCTGCGGACGGGCCAGTGTAACAGAGGGTGGCCTCTGTCTCCAGAGCAGCCCGGCAGTGCGGGTGTCCCCTGCCCCGAGGCTCTGGTTTGAGGAGAGCAAACGTGGAAATCGCTGTCAGCTCTGGAGTGGGGAGCCGGGGGGAGTCATGCCTCTGCCCAGGGTGGCCCCCGGAACGGCCGGTGCCTGCCGGTGCGATACCCCCTGGCTTTGTGCTATTTGAGCGGCATTTTCCGCAGCTCCGCCGTTACAGCACAGCCCTTTGGAAACGTGGGCCCCCCCCTTTCCCCTCGGAGTGCGAGAGCCTTGTGCCAGGGCGGGATGCGACCCCCGAGGGGGCTGCCTGTGTGTCTGGGTGGGAATCTCGAGCGCTTCCCCGAGCGCTGGGTTTGGCCTGGAGGTACCGCGGCAGGCTGGCGCTCACACCTGCCTCAGGCTGCCTCTTTCATACAGCTAAGGCTGGCCGCTCGCTGACACCCAGCTAACGCGGCCCAAACGCGCTTAGAGCAGGAGGGGCCGAGTTCCGAGGGTGGGTTCAGCAGGAATGGCCCCGAGCAGCCGCCTCTGTGCCCCTAACGGGCTGGAGAAGCCTGGGAGAAGGTCTCAGGACACCCCTGTGAGCTGCTCCGGGGTGCGGAGGCGGGAGGGTTCCCGGGTTTTAGGCTCGGCCCACGCTCACCCCTGTAGAGCTGCCCCGGCTCGGTGGGGGCGCTGGGGAGGAGGGAAGGGGAACAGCTCTCCGGAGCTCAGGGCGCGCCCCGGGCGTGTGTCGGGCCACTCCTGGATGGCTCACGAGGAACTAAACCCCCGGGTGCTGGGAGTCCTCCCGCCACGCCGTCATTCCTCAGAGCCCGGCTGTAAGGTCGGGTTCTGTCCGTGAAAACGTGTTTGTGTGCCCTGGCTGAGGAGGAGCAGGAGGAGGGGTACTGCAGGCTGAGCATGGGCGTGTTAGTGGTGGGGTTTGGTTGGTTTGGGTTGGGTTTTAAAGGACTTAAATCCCAGTGAAGGCGCTCAGGACATTTTGCCAGCCAAAAGGGTTTTGTCAGCGTGTCGAGGAGGGTTTATTGCACGTCATGTGTGGAGTAAAAATCAGCAGATCAAAATATCAGGTGGAATCTGTAGCTGCAGGTTCTTTTAATCCTGCCCCAGTAACGATGCCCAAAGACAGCCCAGCCCATGGGTCAGGCCCTGTGTGCATTAAGCTGAGCTCTCCCCAAAGGCTGCAGCTGCTCCTGTTGGTAATTCTTGGTTTGATGTTGTAGGAGGAGGAAAATTTGCGTTCTCAAGTGAGGGACCTGGAGGAGAAATTGGAGACGCTGAAGATAAAGCGAAATGAAGACAAAGCCAAGCTTAAAGAGCTCGAGAAGTACAAGATCCAGCTGGAGCAGGTACAAGAATGGAAGAGCAAAATGCAGGAACAACAGGCGGATCTCCAGAAACGTTTGAAGGAGGCCAAAAAGGTGAGTGTCCGTGGGGAGCCGCGGCAGGACGGGTCCCAGCGTGGCGGCGGCCGCCGTTCAGTCCGCTGTGGAGGGAGGGGCACTGTGCCCCAGCCTGCCCCTACACTGCCGGCCCGGCCTTCGGAAGCTCAAATCAAACTCGGGAAGATGTCGCAGCTGACTCGGAGCTCAGCGGGCTCGGGAGCTTCGGGGCCCTGCCGTGTGTTGAGGTTTCCGAGCCAGCCCCGAGCTGGGGGTGGTGCCGCGGGATCTCTGCCCGTGCTGACCCGCAGCCTCAGCGTTCCCGCTGTCCCCGCGCCCAAACATTTCTTGATCTTGATTGTTCTTGCCATGTGTGCTTGGTGGAAGGTTTGGGGGTTTTTTTCTCTTTGGTGAAGCAGCAGCTTGTCCTGCCTCTTGCTTCTGCGTCGAGCTAAAGCGCTGGGGCAGCGTGTTCTGGGAGCAGCTACGTCCCCACAAAGCTTTGTTAGAAACACAGCATTAACATCAGCTTTTGTTGTGTTGTACTGAGCTGGGAATCAGCATCGAGTCTGCTTGGGAATCTCGGGAGCTGTTCTTAAGCAGCGATTAGATGATCCAGTCCTCTGGAGCCTCGTCTGAGCTAAGCCTGTGGTGACGGGGATTGGGGAGGGCTGGGGGGGTGAGGGCTCTTAGCAATGTATATAAAGACCTGACGGGGGAGTGAAGAGGATGGAGCCAGACTCTTCCCCGCGGTGCCCCTTGAGAGTGCAAGAAGAAAGTGGCACAAACCGAAATGTGAGAAATTCAGTTTAAACATCAGAAAAGCCCTTTTCCCCATGAAGGTGGCTTGGAGGCGGTTGACGTCCCCATCCCCGTGTCGCTCCTGGCTAGCTCTGGGGGGGCTCCCCATCCTGCCTAACATAAGCTTTAATTTGGTAGAACTCATCTCCCTTTAGCTAAACTCACAGCTTTGAGCCGGGCCCTGCAGGGCTGGTGGTGCCAGCAGGAGCCCCGGGGCTTTGGAGCTGATGAGTCTTTATGGGAACGTTTCTCCTGGGGCTCTTGCTGAGCCCCACCTTGGAGTGTCTTGGGAATATCTGCTGCAGGGTGGGGATTTCCCTCTTGCCCTTCTCCCCCCTGGAGCCAGGGGCAGGACCTGCTGGCAAAGGGCCTTTCTCTTCTCTGCCCCGGCTTTCCAGGGTGGGTTCTGGGTTTGTTTCCCTGGTGATTTATTTGATCGTCTGCTCCGGTACAAGCCTGGATGTTTTCTGTCCTCACCTGCAGAGGGTTTTTCTGCTGGGCTCTTCAGCAGGTGGGAGAAAGTGTGAAGCCAGAGGGGGGAGCTGGGCACCCCGGGGTACCGGCCCTCCCCTCTCAGCCCAGATAATTCACTGGGCTTGATCCTCCTCTGGGAGAGCCCTGAGAGACAGAATTGTCCGAGGCTCGTTGTTGGTGAGAGGGATCTCTCCATCGCTGGCCTGGAGCTTCCAGGGTCTTCTCACCCGCACGTGTCCTTGGCTGCAGGAAGCCAAAGATGCCCTGGAAGCCAAGGAGCGCTACATGGAGGAGATGGCAGACACGGCCGACGCCATCGAGATGGCGACTCTGGACAAGGAGATGGCAGAAGAGCGAGCAGAGTCCCTGCAGCAGGAGGTGGACTCCTTGAAGGAGAAGGTGGAATATCTCACGATGGACCTGGAGATCCTCAAGCACGAGATCGAAGAGAAAGGTGGGAAGGGGTCAGCTTTCGGGTGGTCTCAACCTGGGTCGAGCCACGCGCGGGAGCTCCTCGCTGGGGAGGACGTTTGGCTGCGGCGGGGCCGGGGCTTTGCCTCCGCGATGGCCCCACAGCCTCACGCCTGGGCCGGGCAGCTGCTCTGCGGAGCTTCCCGTGGGTCCTGCCCCCCCCTGGGAGGGCAGAGATGGAGCTGCTGCACCTGGGGGTCTGCGGACAAGGGTTCCTGTCCTGGGCTTAGAGGAGCTCAGGCTTTGGTTTTAATGCTTCCCTGGGACGGTGAATCCCAGCCCAGAAGGTGTTTGACTGGGACAGGCTTTATGTGGGAGACAACACAATGGCTTTGGCTGGTCACTGATCCAACCCCCTTGGGCTTCTCACTGAGTGCAGCTTCCAGACCAGTGCCCTGCCCTTGGTTTTGGTTCCCCCGGGGCCTTTCAGCTCTTCAAGTTGAGCTTTAAAAATTACACACAGCAGGGAGCAAGCTGGCTGTTCACAGAACCCCAGAACCACTCCGGTTGGAAAAGCCCCTTGGGATCACCGAGTCCAACCCTCAGCCCAACTCTGCAAAGTTCTCCCCCACCCCACATCCCCCCACAGCTCATCCCAACGGCCCTGAAACCCCCCCAGGGATGGGGACTCCCCCCTCCCTGGGCAGCCTGTTCCACTCTCGCACCACTCTTGCTGGGAAACATTTTCTCCTCCTGCCCAGCCTGACCCTCCCCTGGGGCAGTTTCCAGCCGTTCCCTCTTGTCCTGTCCCTGATCCCCTGGGAGCAGAGCCCAGCCCCAGCCTCTCTGCAATGTCCTGTCAGGAGCTGCAGAGAGGGATGAGGGCTCCCCTCAGCCTCCTCCTCCTCACCCTGAACACTCCCAGCTCCTTCCCTGGCTCCTCACAGGATTGATTCTCCAGCCCTTCCCCAGCCTCGTTGCCCTCCTCTGCCCTCGCTCCAGCCCCTCCAGATCCCTCTGGGATTGAGGTGCCCAAACCTGGACACAACCCTCCAGGTGTGGCCTTACCAGGGCAGAGCACAGGGCTCTGTCACCTCCCTGTCCCTGCTGGCC